CTCGTGAATCTGATGTAATATCGTAACTATCCAAAATAAAGCTCATGCCAATGGCCTAAGTGGTCACCTTTAATATTTAAAAAAAAATAAAAAAATAATTAACTATACAATAAATTTTAATTGTAGTACTAATAAAATATTAATAAAACAAATTTATATATAGCTTTTATTTTAATTTTGATTTAGTAAAAGAAATAATAAAAATCAGATAATTTTTTAGAAAAAGAGAAGTAAAAAAATTAAAATTATATATAAAAATCTAATCAAATATATTGTAATCAAAATATTTGATTAGATGAAGTGTCAGGTGTTTTAAGGTTTTTAAAGAGAACTTAAAATTTTTTTTTTTTTTTTTTTTTTTATTAAAGGATGGGTATTTGTCAAGATGTACTAGATGCCTTTTACAAGGTCTTTTGTCAGATCTTTTATATAATTTGTATTAGCTAACACTTTAACTATTTTTACTATTAGATTTCTCTTAAAACGATTACCTTTTAGGTGTTTATTTTCTTCTTGCAGTATATGCAAAAACTTGTAGTACCAGATAATACTAAGGACACAACTATAAAATAATGATAAATAGACAAATAATAAACAACTAATCAATTAATAAATAAATAAAGATGCAAGAATAAATCAAGCGAGTAGTTAGGAATTCTCACCATGAATGTTTCGTCATATCACATGACTCACGTGACAGCCATGTCTTTATATCATTGAGTTAATTACGGAATTTATTTTATATGTCCCCCCTTTTTAAATCACAAGGTCCCCAAGTCTATCTTTACTGCCAAATCAAATAAGGATTAGATTATCTAATCTCTTTCTTTTCTCTTGATTCCCATATATACATATATATATAGAGAGGTATATATATATATATTTTTTTTATATATATAACAGGTTTTTAAGCAGAATAGTTATAATATCTCTTCAACTGATCCGTATTTACTAAGTTTTTAAAGACCTTTCTTTCTACTATTTGTAATTTATATGTTCCTGGGGCTCCATAATCGTGGATAAATAAGAGCTCTTCTACTTTTCTCTAAGTTTATAACTATATACCTTCTCTTTTGCCAATTCATATAAGAGGACTTGATCTTCTATTTTAAATTTTATGGGTTTTAAGCTTTTATCATAGTATCCTTTTTGCTTTTCTTGTGCCTTCTTAATGTTGGTCTGAGCTTGTATTTATTGTTAATTTAGCTGTTTAGTGATCTTTTCTATATGCTAGTCCAGAGATTGTTCTAATAATGCTTCTGGGCTTTTATTTTTTTTTTGAGTTATAAATCTAGAAGTATTATAGCATAATGGCCATACATTAAATAGAAGTGATCGTATTTAGTGATATAGTTCTTAAAGGTCTGATATGCAAAAAGGGCTGCTGGCAATAAAGTATTCTATATAGTCTTATAGTCACCTACCAACTTTGCCAAAGTTAAGCACAAAGTCTTGTTGAACTTTTCGGTTAACCTATTTGTTTGGAGATAATAAACAGCAGACAATTTATAACGAATGGCTATTATTTCACATAAAGCATCAACAATTTTATTACAAAATGAATAATCTTGATCTAATAGAAGAGTTCTAGAACAACTATAATAACAAATAATTTCTTTGTAGATAAATCTGGCAATGGTAGATGTGGTCATATCCAGAATAGTGCGGGCCTTAGGCCACTTGGTTAAGTATTCTGTAGCTATAACAATGTAACTATTATTATTTTCAGAAATATCTTTAAATGGGTCTACTATATCAATGCCCACTCTATCAAAAGGTTCTCCAACTTTAAGAGGTCGTAATTCTCTCTATAGTCAAGAAGCCTTTGTTATTGATACATATCACAGGTCTGTATATAATTAGTAATGATTTTGTACATATGTGGCCAAAAGTATTTTCCTTTTGCTCTGTTGTAGGTTGATTCTACCCCAAAATGTCTGGCTGTGATATCAAAATAGAGTCCATATAGAATTTTCTCTAGTTTATTTTCTTTGATTACATGTAGTAGAGGTCTGTTCTAATCCTTATTCTTATAGTAGAGAAAATCTTCATTGACACAATAATGGGCAGCTTGTTTTCTAAATTTTTTTTTGTTAGACTACATCTAGATTATCAGGAACTTTTGCAGTTTCGAGGTACATTTTAAGTTGCCGATAATATTATAAATTCATTTTAAATAAATATTTCTTCTAGTAAATTGTTAAAACTTAATCTGCTACAATATCTATATTTAATAAAAAATAACTTATAGTCTAGCTAAATTACACAATGTTTATATCTTTTGTTATATAATTTTTGAATATTTTTTTTTTTTGTATATATATATATATATTTATTTAGCGCTTTGTTCAACACATTTATAATTTTTTTTCTGATTTCTTTTCCTCACGAGAGTTTGTGAGGAATTCTTGATAGGATATCTACATTGATATGGGTCGAACCTTTTTGATATCATATAGTATAGGGATATTCAGTGGCAATTATAATCCATCTTGCAAGTCTTCTGATAAGATTTGGATTGGATAATAACCATTTAAGAGCTTGATGATCAGTCACTAATTCAAACTCTTTTCTGTATATATAAAGGCAGAAATATTGCATAGCCCAAATAGTGGCCAAACATTCTATTTCTGTTGCTAAGTAATTTTTTTCTAGACTATTTAGTTCTTGACTTGTATATGCAATAACATATTTTTTGTTATAGTTATTCTTTTGAGCCAGGATGGCTCCTAGGCCAGTATATGAAGCATTGGTATGAAGTATGAAGAGTTTATAGTAATCAGGATATCTTAAGATATGTATAGTTATGAGTCTTTGTTTTAATTGTTCAAAGGCATCTCTATATTGTTCATTTCAATAAATATAACATTCTTTTTTAATAGAGTGTGAAGTGGATATATGATTTTGAAAAAGTTTTCTATAAACTTTTTATAGTATGATGCCAAACTGATAAATCCTTGAAGTTTAGTCAAATTAGATAAGATTAAAAAATTACAAACTTTTTTCACTTTAGTTGGGTCAGGAGCGATATCTTCTTTACTTATAACATGTACTAGAAATACCAACCATTTTTTAAAAAAAATAGTACTTATCTTTTTCTAAACACAACCTGGCTTTTCTTAGGAAATCAAAAACTTGTTAAAGGTGATTTAAATATTCTTCAAATATTTCTGAATACATATTGATATCATCAAAGTAGACTAATACAAACCTCCTATTAATTCTATAAAAAATTTTATTCATTAGCTATTAGAACATGGCCAGTGCATTTGTTAATCCAAATGGCATGACCAAGAATTCATATAATCTATCCTTGGTTACAAAAGCAGTTTTTTCGTGGTTCTGGAGACACACCTCTATTTGCCAATAACCACTTGCCAAATCTAAAGTTGAGAACTACTTAGATTTGTTTAGAGAACTTAATATATTATCAATTCATGATAACAAGTAAAAATCTTTCTGTGTTAAAACATTTAATTTTCAGTAATCTATACAAAACTAGGTCTTACTATTCTTTTTCTTTACCAATACCACAGGAGAACTCCAGAAACTGTCAGATTTCTGTATTATTCCATGTTTTAACATTTGATCCATCTTCTTATTGATGAATTCATTTTCTGTATAGGACATGTGGTATAATCTTTGCTTTACAGGTTGGGTGCCTTTTACTAACAGGATTCGATACATCTCTATTTTTGTTCTACTGTTCTACCTAATTGAGTTAGCTCTTCTGCAAATAAATTTTCATTTTTATCTAACAATTCTTTTACCTTTATCTGTTGTTCATATTTTAGCTTTTCAATACTATTATCATCTTTAATTATTCCCAACTCTTCATCCAAATCTTTGACTAGACATTCTAATATTTCTATATTTTCTTTATACTCTAAGAATTTCTCTTCCGATTTATTTAAACATTTCTCACACCAACATAAGGTATTTGAATCATTCTCCCAATACTAGAATCCCTTACCATTTAATCTTTCCTTACTCTCTTCTCTTAATTTTCTGTATTCTATTATTGGTTTTACTTTATTTGTGATTTTTTTTTTTTTTATTTATTTCTTTAATAAGTCTTGCTATGGCTTGACCTCTTTAGTTATTAGTATATACAATTTATATATGTTTATTTTTAAGACTAATCTAAAGCCCGACTTCACTCAGTTGCCTATTTCAGTACACGAGCAAAACTTATTACAAAAGCTTACGAATAAGCTAAAAAAAAGTTCTTTTTATAAACTTTGTTCAAAAGGGGTTTTTACCTTTTTGTATCTAATATTAGCTCTTAAAGAACTAAAATATTAGAACTAATTTCCCTCCTAATTTTGCTTTCTTCTCAAGGGGCATGAGACAAAAAAAGAAAATAAAAAAAAAAATTTTTAACAAAAATGACCAAAAAAGAAAATGAACAAACTAAAAGAAAAAATAAAGCACAAATTTTAAAAAAGAAGAAAACAACAAAAGAAAAAAAAAGACCTAATAGTACTATTATAACCTGTACAAGGCTTTAAAAATTATATAACAAATGCAATATTTGTATATTCCTGCTATAAAACTTTGTCTTAACGTATTAGTTTTTTTCTGACTATATAACTAATTCCAGGTATACCTTTAACCATAGACTAGTCAACAGACTTTGTTATGTAGAGTAGCGATGTGTTTGTTACTAAACAAAACACATGGTTGCAATCTACCAGGTCGACCAAATTTGAAAGGAGTAAACAATGCCAATCTTTTGACAGGGGTAAGCTGTTTTGCCCACTTTTTTTGAAAATTTTGTTGTAAGCACAAGTGGGTGATAGTAAAGAGTATAGACCTTGTACTTTTCTTAAAAGA